CTCCGGATTAGTGAATCCGCTAGTGCTATCCATTATACTACCGGCTATCGTTCCCTACTCAACAACAGGAGCATTATAACTGTAACGCACACCATCTACATACACATTATTAGCACGATATAGTTTTTAACACTGTTACCACAAGCAACGCACATCTTCCAGTTCTTTTTGGATATTAAAATGCTATAAATGTCGGCTTTTCGCAAGCGTTCGCGACACTGGGCACTGAGTTTCGTGCGCAACCAGGCTATAGTAATTTAGATAGCGGTACTCGGGTTTATGTACTCACAACAATTTTGTGGGTTGGGAGTCAGGTGGGGATCCAGAATTTGATCAAAGCATCGCAGGCAGCAATCGGAATGGTACGTCACTGACAAAACTAGCTGTCATTTTCCGGTAATTTTTCACTTGATTTCACCTAATGATTCACTCGTTTTATATTTTCACCACAAATCAGCAGCTTTCAATTTAGAGTTGATGCCATTCCAGTCCTATTTAGTTTCTCTCTGCCGATGATTTTGGAAATAAGGAAAAAATTAACTTTGGTGTTTCACTTTTTAAAGCCTTCAAGACTGCTTTGAACCCGGACCATAGCATTCGCCAAAGGCTAAGAAAATAGACGGAAAGCTTTGTCGGCCTGGAAAGGATGATTTTCAGGGAGCGTACTGCGACGTGGCAGAGATTTGGTGCAGACAGTTTCAAATGATGTGCGACGATCGCTGTTCTTTCTTCCGGATGGCGTTGGAGCGTTTGCGAGAAATTTAAACAAACAAACAAACAGATATTGTTTTCTTCCCCCGCAATTCGTTGTAAACTTTTTGCAAAGTTTGTCTGACAAATCAGAATTAACAGCTTCCGACATTGCATGCTGCGTGGTGGAACAGGGCAAGAAATGCTAATTTTTAGGATCAGCAATAAATTCCCCGACTGGTGGATAGTGGATTACTCTCCTTATAGAATTATTTTCAAGCTTTCTTTTCGTCTTACTCCCTTCTCCACTGTTAAATAACAAATGCTGATTACTGGTGTATAACTTTATCACTGCCCTCACAGTAATAATTTTTTAATTTCTGTAAATATCAACAATGTCAGGTCGACAGCCTGTGGTTGCCTCATTTTAAAGATCTTTTACAAACTGTGGGCTTTAAAAGGAAACACCGCGGGTGTTGATGCAATCAGATTTTTCGGCAAAACCCCCTCCTTTACTTTTTATGCGTTTTGTGCTGTGTAACAGCAGTACAAAACGCATACTGTCACGGGGTTGTCTGTGTGCGTGTATGTGTGTGTGTCCGCTGCAACTTGTCCGCAACTTTCAACTCGGGAACCATAAAAGCTAGGAAGCTGAAAATTTAGGGGGACGTCCCCCATCCACGTGTGGCCCCGCAAATTTAAACTCAGCCTTACCGTATCCATGGGTAATACGTATGGCCCAGTAAAAGTTTTGGCCGGTAAAGTTATTATCACCGAACCACTAAATGTACGAAGCTGAAATTTTAGGGTAATGACCCCTGCCCACACTCGACCTTGCCTATTCAAATTCAGCATTCCCGCGCCCTCAGGTACTACCTACGGTCCCATGAAAGCTTTGGCGGATAAATTATTATTTCGGGAACCACGGAAGCCAGGAAGCTGAAATATTATGGGTATTTTCCTTGCTCACCCGTGACCTAGAAAAGTTAAATTTAACTTTTCCGTGCCCGCGGTTAACATATACGGCCCCTTGAAAGTTTTAGTGAACAAATTATTGTCTCGGGAATCATGGGATCCAGGTGACTAAAACTTTGGATTAATGACCCCTACTCACGTACAACCTCGCAAATTCAACTTCAGCGTTCCTGCGTTCCCGGGTGAAGATTTGGCGGAGAAATTATTATCTCGAGAACCATAAAAGCCAGGAAGCTTAATGGTAATGTCTTCTTTCTACATACAATCCTGTAATTTTAAGTTCAGCTCCCCGTGCGCCCGAGCATCACTTCCGGCCCCGTGAAACTTTCAGCGGGGAAAATTATTATCTCGGCAATCGCGGAAGTTAAGAATCTCAAATTTTAGGGTGATTTCCTCCACAAACGTACGACCTCGCAAATTTGAACTCAGCCTT